TATTTCGTGCACGCTTCTTTAGCATTTCAAGCACGCCCGGATCCATCTTCTCCATTATCTCCGCCTGTGCCTCCGCGATCTCATCCCCCGACATCTCGCTCAGCCGAGCAAGATTCTCAGCTTCAATCTCGTCCATCAGTGTGGGCTTCTCCGATCCATTAGAGACCGATGTCTCAGGTTCCCCTTCGCCACAACCAACTGCACTGCTACTAGACACAACAGAAGCTGCAAAATTTCTACTACCCTCTCCATTTTTTGCCATAATTTCGGTTTCAGGTACAGTTACTGCCTTCTTTGTGGCATTTTCAGTTTCAGGTACAGTTACTCGTTTCCTTGTGACGCTTTTAGCTTCCGCTTTCTTCATTTGTGACTTGTTCTCATCGACCTGTTGAAGTTCTCTCCACCTGCTGAAATCCAGACCCTTCTTCTTCTTCCCCTTGATAGGGTCTGCAAACGACGATGCCGACACGTGATCAGCATCATTCTCCTCCTCTGCCGCATCACCCACATCAAATCTGGGCTCCTCGCTCGCCGACGCACCCGACCACTGCAAGATTCAAAATTTAAGCAAAGACGGTCAGATCCCAAGGGGCCAAATCTCACATTCCATCCACAACTCTTGGGAGTTTATGGATTTGGGGAGGTAATACAGAAAAAGGAACATCTGAGGGTCCGACATGGAATTAAAAGCGAATTTAGGGCTTTTAGGGTTTAGGGTTTTAGGGTTAGATTACCGGGCCGCCGTGAGAGCGGTGGCGGGCGACGGGGAAGGGGAGGACGGAGGGGTTGGGGGGGTTGGTGGCGGAGGACGAGGAGGAGGAGGAGAAGCCCTTCTCGATTATGCTACCGACGATGTTGGGGGCGAGAGGGAGCTGCTCTACTTTCTTCGTTGATGAGGAGGGCGAGGGCGAGGGTTTTCTGGTCGCCATTTGATTTCGATGACAAAATGTTTCCGCGTTTTTTGGGCGCGAGAGAGAGAGGGAGGGTTTGAAATTGCTGCGATCTTTTTGTAGTCGGTGTTTTGAGATGGGGAACTCGAGCGAGGAAAAGGGAAGAACTACAGAAGAGAACTCCAGAGGGTGAACCTCACGCCTGTCATATTTCGCGTTTAGTCCCTCAAATCAATGAATCATGGAACTTGATATTATATTCGTCAAATCTTTAGTCAATTTAGGATTAGTCCCCCAAATTAATAAAATTGCCATTAGATTTCTCATATCTTTAAGTTATTTTCAAATTAGTCCTCTAATCAAGAATAAGAGTAGGAATCAAACGGATTAATTTAAAGCAATTTATGAGAAATTGGGAATCCAGTAGCGATCTCGATGATTTTAAGTGACTAATTTGTCTCTATTTTCTATTTTCACTCTTCGTTTGAATGATTAATTTCAAAGTTACTTAAGATTTATGAGAAATAATACTAATTTTAATGATTTTAGGGACTAATTAAAAAATTATGATTTGACAGACCTCATAGCAATTTGACTAGTTTCAAAATATTAAATGTAAGGGACTAATATTAAAAATTTAAAACAACAGTTATAATTATATCAAAATAAATAGGCTTAATTGCACTTTGATATCCTAAACTTTTCTGAAGAATTTTTTAAAATCGTCTCAACATAATTTTTTTAAAAAGAAATAGACTATATTCACTTTTAATTATAGAAATCGACCCACTTTGAGTTAATAGCGGTACTAATTAGTCGGGTCCGACTAATTTGTAGCCTAATTACAAGTGGGGTCAAGGAATGGGGAAGGTTTGCGGCTGCTAATTAAACTATTAATTAGTCGGGGTTGGCAACGCCGACTAACTAGTACCGTAATTAACTCAAAGTGGGTCGATTTCTATAATTAAAACTGAATGTGGTCGATTTCTTTAAAAAAATTCCGTTGAGGCGATTTTGAAAATTTCTTCAAAGTTTTCTCCATTCTAAACTTTTATATCCCAAGGTTTCTTTTTACCAATTTTGTCCAAAATGTTATAAAAAATGGACTGTGGGACCCCTCCCATTTGAAGTTCATTTTTTTAATTGAGATCATGATCTTAGGGGCTATTTGTTTCACCCAATTTATAGAAAAGGATTGGTATTTGGATCTGACAGTGGCAAAAGTGTAATATTTGGATTCTTTATCAATCCTATTCTAGAGTTTGGCTGGGAAAAAATTTATGGATTACAAAATCCATAAAGGTGCAACAGTAAGGGTTTTTTTTATAGAAACCCAAATCGGAGGTTTTTGAGAGTATTTGGGCGAGAATTCTGACTTCGTTCTTCATCTTCGTTTTCTGACTAATCCTCTTGACTTTGAACCTAGATCTGGAATCGCAACTCCCCATTTTTTCTCCCGCCTCTCCCGAAGCTTCTTCGCGCCTCCTCTCCCGCTGTTCTTCGATATTGTTCTTGGGTTCGTTGGTGGATTTGCCCTAGATTTTGGCTTCGGCTTCTCCCGCGACCCTTTATCCCACCTCATCTCTTCGATTTCTTTTTCGAAGACGAGGCATAGTGCTTATTTGTCGGTGGGGTTTGCTGGTTGTTCCGTCCGGTGGGGTTTGTTGGCAACGACATTAATTTCTGAATTATTCCCTTCGCAGCTGCTTGGCATCTGCGGGTATAAATCATTTTATCCCTTTTAATGTGATCGTTTCATTGTGCTTGCTCTGAGGAAATTAACATTGGTAGTGGAATTATTGATTTTGGTATATGTTTAATTATTGAAACAAGGGTATTGTTCGATGGGGTTTCATTTGGTATATAGTTGATTATTGATTTTAGTAGAATTATTTGTCGGTGGGGTTTCATTCGCAACTGCTTGGCATCTACATGTCTAATCTCTCATGAAACAAGGGTTTTAGTATATAGTTGATTATTGATTTTCGGTTCTCTGGAATTTTTGTTATTGCAGTCCTTCAAATGACTAAACCATGGAATGAAAACCTTAATTATATTTGTTTGATCAGCGTGCATGCTTAGGGTGCAAAATATGAAATAGTTGTTTCACTACTTGATATAGATTTGTGGATATGTAGATATATGGTTTTACGATTTTAATATTTTTATTAGTTATTTAATTATCTTTAGTTTCCAAACATTATTACTGTTAACTTGTAAATATATGTTAATTTTACAATGGATTTAGATGGATAACGTAGATGAAGAACAATTGAAGAGGATGTGTGCTAATACAGCTGTGTCTGCGGTGGTCACAATAATAACATGTATTCTGAGAATGCGTGCTAAGCGTAAGACAATTTCATCTTGTACGAAGGAGGAAAAAAATAAAAAAAAATTATTGCCGAGAAGCTCACTTCAAACGTGTATTGGAAGGTTATAGTGATAGTTGTTGGTCTTACATTAGAATGAGACCGAGTGCCTTTTTTAAACTTGCTGAAGTAATAAAAGAAAACGGTTTATTAGAGGATTCCAGACATGTTCAAGTCGAAGAACAGCTCGCTATGTTCCTAAGTATAGTGGGGCATAAAACTAAAAATAGAATAATAAGGACTGAGTTTATAAGATCGGGAGAAACAGTGAGTAGGTATTTCAATAAAGTCCTACAAGAAATGAATGGGTTACGTGATCGCTATATGAAGCAAGCTCCAAATGAAGTTCCTGCAGAGATTGCAAACAACCCAAATTATTTTCCTTACTTCAAGGTAAAAATAATACATACACCTCAACATCTGTTTTAAGTGAATATGTATTTTATTGAATATTTTATAACTTATATTTTTTATAGGATTGCATTGGTATGATAGATGGCACACACGTTGACGCTGTATTACCCAGTAACCTAGCTGCCCATTTTAGAGGGAGAAAAGGTGTGACACAAAACGTCCTAGCAGCATGCACCCCTAATAAACTATTCACCTATGTCCTAGCTGGGTGGGAGGGAGCAGCAAATGACTATAGGATATTACAAGACGCTTTGTCAAGACCATAGCCTTACGGGCTTCGAGTTTATAATGGTATTAATTCTTACTTGTTCACAATTAAAAAAAATTTAAATACTTGTTAATAGTGTGATATGAAGATACTGTTCTATTTAATGTAGGTAAATATTACCTATGCGACGCTGGATACACCACAATGCCAGGCTTCATATCCTCATATCGTGGTGTACGATATCATTTAAAAGAGCACACCGGTAGGACACCAAAGAATAGAAAAGAGTTGTTCAATTTAAGGCATTCCAGTTTAAGATTAAAAATTGAATGCACATTTGGTATATTGAAGAATCGGTTTAAAATAATATCAGCGAAGCCAAATTATCCATTTCCCACTCAAGTGGACATTGTACTAGCGTGTACCGTGTTACACAATTTTATTGCTATAGAAGATCCAGATGATGATATTTTAAATAAAAATGTAGAAATTGATGAAGATAATAGAGAAGTGACAAATGAAGATGACTCAAGTGTGGTGGATTATACTCAAACTAGGACACAGAGAAAGGATCAAGATGAAAGAAATGAATGGAAGGAGCTACGAGATCAAATTGCTTGGGTGATGTGGGTGGATTATTGTGCAAAGTATAATGGTGGTAACACAATGGAAAGTGGATTAGCTTAATGTGATGTTTGTTCTATCTCGATGTAATAATTGTATTATTTTCTTACTGTTCGCAACTATCTGTTTTAATGTTTCTTAGCATGTACTAAACATTACTACGATTATCATCTTCTCTCTTTTCATGTTGTTTCTATACATGTAGGCGTTTCATATATTCCTTTTCTAACGCAAATTGCTAAATGCATGCATATTATATATTGATTTAGGTTTTTTTTAATAATAATGTCTACTTGTTCAATATATATTAGGTATGGCTAACAATCAGGCAAATAAGCAGCCCCTGTCTTCTCATTCTAATGCTCCGCCAAATCCCACTGCTAACATAAACATGAACTTCACGCCTGTTCAACCACAACCTTTCTCTTCACCCCGTCATACATTCCCACCATTCTCACTATACAATGTCAATTATGGTGGAATGACACAGCAACCACTGTCATACGTGAGCATGTTAAATAGTCCACAAGGTTTGCTATTTCCCACAGCCAGTTCTCAAAGTAGTGGACCTAATCAATTTTCACCAAACACCGGTGATTCAGCAGAGAAGGTTATTCATGACGTTGATGGTGAGGAGCACACTTCACCAATAAAAAAAAGGGAAAAAAATAGCTCATAAGAAATCGGTCCTAGGGATAAGGTTGAACTCAAGAGGTGTGGCTAATAAGTTTTGGCTTCCAGAGCATGATGACGTTCTCATTCCTTATCTTGCAGAATTAGCATTAGATGGGCTAAAGCCAGACAAGAACTTCAAGGCAGAAGCTTATAAAATGGCAGCGATGAAAATCAACATGCAATTCAGGACTGATTTCACTCATATACATGTCATTAACCACTTGAAATGCTTGAGAAATAAATTCAATGACATGAAGTCTTGCCTTGATATAAGTGGAGCTGGGTGGGATAAAATAAATAAAATGATTACACTAGATGACGAAACCTTAAAATTGTGGTCTCAGGTATAACATTCAGCATCTACATTGTCATTAGTAATTAATACATTTGGTTCACAACTTATGCTTATTTGTTATTGCAGGACAAATCCAAATATAAGTTCAAAGCGTACATAAACAAACCCCTACCTCACTTCAAAATTTACAAACTATCATGGATGATGACCAAGCTAAGGGTGAATTTGTTAGGCCTGTGTATGCTAACATTGGGTCTAGTAGGTCCATACCTATTCCTGAAGATGATAGTGAAATTCCAGAGGAGAGTGAAACTACACCACAATCTGATGCTTGTAACCAACAACAACCGACTAGATGTAAGTCTAAGAGTAAAGACAACATGAATTCATCTTCTAACAAGAAACCTAAAAATCAAATCGTGAAGAGGAAATGTTATGTGCCTTTGTTGACTCAATTCTCAGTCCATGAGAAATCAACACATTGTTCATTGGACTGAGCAATTGGCTGCAGCGTTGAAGGAACATAGGAATGAATATTCTGAGGAATTTCTAGATAGGATTTTAGATCACTTATATGACAATGAACGTGAAGCTAGAAGGTTTTTCATAAAAGGCAAGGAAGGTCAGCAGAGGTACATTACCAACCTGATTAACGATCAAGGTTGGTCTGTTAACTAATTTGTTCGGTTTGGATTACATGTTAATGGAGCATTTTGTTGTGCACGCGTATATGTTGTTGCGCATATATCGTTTTGTTATTTTCAAACTATTAATGTTGCAATACTTCTTATTATGAAAACGCTATGACGTCATGTAATTAATAAATTGGTTCTTTTTAACTTTTGATGTAGGGAAGTATGGATAGGCATGACTAATGAGTTCTTAATATTGTTCCTTTGCTTTTGATGACAGGTGAAGCTAATTTGTTGCTCCTTTTGCCGTGGGTTTTTGGTTGTCAGGTGCACGTGTATATGTTGTTGCTCTTTTGCTTTTTTAGCTCTTTGGCTTTGGGTTTTTTTGCCATCAGGTTCGTGGAGCTTGTGTAGCTCATTGCCTTTGGGTTTGTGGCTGTTATTTGGAGCTTGTGTAGCTCCTCAATCTCTTTAGGTTTGTTGCTGTTTTGTTTTGAGCTTGTGTAGCTCATTGCCTTTGGGTTATATGAGGTTTTGTTTTGAGCTTGTGTAGCTCCTTGCCTTTGGGTTATATGAGGTTTTGTTTTGAGCTTGTGTAGCTCCTTGAGTTTGGATTTGTGGTTGTTATTTGGAGCTTGTGTAGCTCCTTGCTCTTGTGTTTTTTGCTGTGTTGTTTGGAGCTTGTGTAGCTCCTTACTGCTGGGTTTGTTGCTGTTTTATTCTGAGCTTGTGTAGCTTCTGTGAATTAGGTTTGTTGCTATTTTGTTCTGAGCTTGTGTAGCTCATTGCTGCTGGGTTTGTTGATGTTTTGTTCTGAGCTTGTGTAGCTTCTGTGAATTGGGTTTACTTATGTTTTGTTTGGAGCTTGTGTAGCTCCTTGCTGCTAGGTTTGTTGCTGTTTTGTTCTAAGCTTGTGTAGCTCCTGTGAATTGGGTTTGTTGCTGTTTTGTTTGGAGCTTGTGTAGCTCCTGTGAATTGGGTTTGCTGCTGTTTTGTTTGGAGCTTGTGTAGGCTGTTATGTGGGAGCTATGTAGGCTATGTAGGCTGCTATGTGGGAGCTATTTTGTTTTTCCTTGCCTGTGTGTTACTTGCTGTTTTGTTTTGAGCTTATGTAGCTCCTTGCAGTTGATATTTGGCAATGATGATGATTAGCGTTTATTGAGAATGCAATCTAACTTACATTGTTTATTATATTCAGATGAGGCAAAAGGGAATGAGATTACAGCCTACATTGAATTGACAATGTCTAGGCGAGGCAATTCATCCTTATAATGCAATCTGTAATAAACATGTAAGTTATAGGTGGGGCAATCAATTATGACAAGTTGATCTATTACTGAGCCATACAATAACAATTAGAATTTATACCCAATTTCAAAAACAGTTTTCATTACAATCTCAATAGTTTTTGCAAGTACAAGTACATGACATGCAGTTTATAATAATTAAAATAATACAAAAAATGCTAATAAAATGGCTAAAATTTTCCAAGCTAGTAGTTGATTTTTGACAAGTCTCAATTCTTTCTTCAGCCTCTTTGATTGCAAAATATATTTATCTTCGTACCTATTTTCTTTGACATATTGGCTTCCTTGGTTGCTTGGGTCTCCTCTTTCATCAGTCCATTCGAAAAAATTATATTCTTTATTTGGAAATTTTGCACACCCCTAATAACACATTCCCTTATTTTTACCATTCTTGCACACTTTCATCGGTGTTTGGAGATTGCAGTTGCAATAAACTTCATAATTTTGGTAGCACTCTTCTGATATCATATTAATGTCTGGGATCCAAATTGCAGACAATGAGAATTTATAAATTGCTGAGAAATGAGAATGCATGGATTAATTTGAGGCCTCAAGTTGAATTTATAGCCACTATGATCCTAAACTAGCCGTTGCTACAGTGTTATGGCTTTGAATTTTGAAGATGGTGGAAATAGTCGTTGCTATAGTTTTTTTTCTTTGAATTTTGAAGTTGGTGGAACAGCCGTTGCTTCAGTGATTTTGTGATGATGAGTGAGCTAGCCGTTGCTACAGTGTTGATCCCTAAAAAAAATTATTCTGAACCAACCATGGTATTAGGAATTGGAGGGTTTCTATAAAAGTGAGATTCTTTTTTTCTTTGGGTGAAACAATCATAGAATGCAACAAAAATAGGATTCCATAAAACTAAAACTTGTCTATAAATTTTTTATGGATTAGGTTGGAATCCATAAATAAAATAGGATTACTAATTCTATTCCTAGCCTCTATTGAACCAAACAGACCCTTAACATGTGATCTCATTTGGATTTTTATATTCATGTAGTTATTATAAACACCCCCGAAAAGGGTGGGAAAGTTATTTGTCAGTTCTCAGGGTTATTTATGAGAACTAAGAGGTATAAAAGTCAAAATCATATCACATGTTAAGAAGGCGATCTGAATTTAACAAAGAACACCAAAGTTCACTTTTTTGAAACGTCATGTACCAAATGAGGAGGAGGGGTGGGGGTGTTGGGGGGTGGGTGCGGACTTTAGCGTGTCAAAGATGAAAATGGATGGAACTTTAAGGTACCATAGTTTAACAAAGCCCAGAAAAATGGGCTCACTTGCGATAACACCCTACATCTTTACCGTCAATAGCATTTATTATGTCTTAGCTATTTTAATAGCTTTTAACACCTTCATATTGATAACTAGTGTTATTCCCGCCAGATGCTGCAAGATTTTTTTATGGTGCATAGTTTTAATTAAGAAAATTGATTCTAAATATAATTTTTTGTTAAAAAGCATAAATAAATTTTAATGTCGAGATAAACTAAGTGTCATAAAAGAACCCACAGCCTATGGGGTATTGAAAAGAACAAATACTAGGTTGTCCTAAAACTATGTAAGAAGCAAATTTGATCCCAGTAGTTTTAGCTAAAACTTAGATAAAAGTCGAAGAAGAAAAACCTTTTCTCAGGAAAGAGTAAGACAACTTAAACATGTATTAGTCATTTATAATAATATTTAATTAACTTAAAAATATCCAAAAACATATAAGTTTCAACAAAATGACTTAAAATCAACCTACATGACAATAATCTAGGATTGCAACAATAAATCATCATATTATAAAGAAAATATAAATGAATTAATATTAAAATAATTATCTTATTGCTGCAAATTCTCCACACAAAAAAATCTTTTTAGATTTCATAGATGAGTACAAACAGAAACAAAGAAAAAATCAAGTGAATTTTAATGTATTGTCTATGTGAATAACATCCAAGATGAATAATAATTACTCACACATTAAAAATACAAGAGAAATGAACTAACTTTCCAAGTATGAAGTACATAATAGAGTTTGAAATAAACTTACTCACAAGGAATAGATGAAACATGTTGGAAGAGACCTTTAGGATGAACATGAAATTATTTATGTATGTATATAATAGTGGAGGGGGTTATCAAATGTTATATGAAAGAGTT